AGGATTACTATTTTCAAGAATCTTACCTGATTCTAAACTCTGAACTTGTTGCTCCCTATGTGTTCTTGAACCACCCTCATCTTCCCTCAACACATCACCAGTGTCACCATGGCCTTTTTCTTGCGGAGGCAAACCTGATAATAATGGCTTTTGTTCCTGCAATGTGTTTTCATTAGCGAGTTTCTCACTACTTTCACAATCCTTCTCTTTATTTGGACATTGCTTGGTACCTTCAGGGGAATCGTCCTGTTTCGTAGATAGACCCGTAGTAAGGCGTTGATCAAGAGAATCATCAGCTTGAGGGGGTGAGAGTGCTTCAGCTTCTACTGCTGGTGCTGGGGGAGATATACCAGGAACACCAGTCGCCCCACGCAAACAGATAATGTTCAGAAGAAAAACAAGAAAGTAAAACACTCGTCGTACCATCATCAGAGTAAGAGATACTTTGGCTGATTGATGTCACTATGCTAGAGAACACAAAAGTCAAGCAGAAAGGATAAAAGAAATACAGTCCATTAAATAGATTTACAAACAACAAGAACACTTACACAAAAATAAAAATACCAAGTTAAGGAAAAAGGATATCGGTAAAGGTGCACCTTAGATAACAACCAAGCAAAACGAAAAGAAATTAAGAACAGCACCAACGTTTCCGCAAGCAAAATACACAACATAAAATTCTGGGTACGACCCAGTAAATATGCATTTATCAAGAACAATTGGTATCTCGCCCTCCTCTCTCACATTCCAGAAAGCAGACCACCATAACAGTGCAGGTCAAAGCCCATAACGACCCAAGCAAACCACAAGCAAACAAAAAAACAGATATTAACCATTAGCCCAATTTACACAATAAACACAAGAAATACACCAACTATGGGTGTAAGTCTATATGTGTATAAACGCAATTATAAATATAAATTCATCTCTTATTCTTATTTCATTTTCCCTCACTATAAAAAGCAGTTCATCATCATTATCATAACAGTGCAAGCCCACAGGCACACACACACAGAGAGTCTCCAAGAACACACACACACACAATGGAGTAGCAATAATAAGAATTATAGGATAAACACACAGATAGAAAAAACACACAAAACACACATTAACATTAAGAAACAAAAAAAAAAGATAACTCCCAACAGGTAAAAGATTAGTTAGACTGTAGGGATGTATGCAAAAAAGAAGAAAACAAAGGATGACCTGAGTCACACCATCACCACCACTAGCACACAATCAGCACACAAGAATACAGGCCAGTGTAACCACAATCAGTAGTGGTACACGCACCCACACAGAACTGCTGATACTGCTGCTGCTGTCTGCATCACCCTTCTTGTTGTTTGCAGGCTCAGGAGGAATTGTTGTTGTTGTTGTAGTGGTGGTTGATTCCTCATTATTGGCTGTATTGGGAGTTTCAGGGTCTGTGTTCGTCGAGTTATTCGGCGTTGTATCTGCATTTCCTGCAACACCTGAGTTGTCGGGTGCCTCACTCTCCTCAGGTTTAGTGCCGTTCCCAGCTGACGCATCAGCAACACCAGTTTCACTCCCTGTGCCTTCAATGTTTGGAGAGGAAGGAGATTGTGCTGCTGCACTTCCACCATGTGGATTGCTTCCGCTGCCTCCTGGTAGAGGACCAGTTGAAGACACATCATCACTACTCGTCGGAGCAGTAGGAAGAGTATCAGCATCAGGAGCTTGTGAATTAGGAGAAGCAGTGTGCGAAGAAGTTCCACCAGTACCGGCAACAGAACCCATAGAAGAACCAGATCCACTTTCTTGACCAGGACCACCAACACTTTCTTGATGAGTTTCATTACCAGATGAACCTCGATGTGTTGTTTTACCTGGTTCAGCAGGACCAGGACTACCAGGGAGACATTCAGTCGCCGAATCACCACCTGTGCAAGTACGATGGGAAGCATCTTCAGGATTCAGACTTTCTGACTGTGCAGAGGTAGTAGTCGCCACGCAAACAGAGGCAACACTCATAATTAGAGCCAGAAAATACAATACACGTCGCACCTGCATCTTGACAAAGAAATATTCTTTTTGTTCTTTGTGGGTAGTTAACCTGGACGAAGGAAAAAAAGAATCGTATAGAAGAAAAAACAACGAAATAGAGAGACACAGACAGAGGAAGAAAAAATAATAGAAAAACAAAAAAGAAGTCATAAGAAACACAAACAAATCAACATAAACAATAACGAATAATTTATAGTGGTAACTTAGACAATTAAAAAGCAAAACAAAAAAAGGAAATTAAGAGCAAGACCAACTTACCCAGTAAACACACAAACCACGACGAACACCAGTCATGCTTGAAATAATTTGCAATTAAGAATATAAATGCTTCATTTATTAGTTTTATTAATTCCCAGAACAAATCAACATCAGAGAAGCAGGGCACAAAACACACAACCAACCCAGCAAAAGAAACGAGCAAACAAAAGAGATATTAACCATTAGCCCAAATTACCCAGTACACACAGAAATATACACCAACTATGGGTGTAAGTCTATATATGTGTATATATACGCAATTATAAATATAAATTCATCTGTTATTAGTTTTATTAATTCCCAGAGCAAATCAACATCAGAGAAGCAGGGCACAAAACACACAACCAACCCAGCAAAAGAAACGAGCAAACAAAAGAGATATTAACCATTAGCCCAAATTACCCAGTACACACAGAAATATACACCAACTATGGGTGTAAGTCTATATATGTGTATATATACGCAATTATAAATATAAATTCATCTGTTATTATTATTTCTTTTCTTTTCACTGCAAAAAACAATTCATTATCATCATCACAGTGCAAAGCCCAGGTACACACACAGAGAGAGTCTCCAAGAACACACACACACACAATGGAGTAGCAATAATAATTATTATAGGATAAACGTAGAGAGCAAAAACACACAAAAAACACATTAACATTAAGAAACAAAAAAGAAAGAGAATAGCCCAACAGGTGGAAGATTAGTTAGACTGTAGGGATTGCATGCAAAAAAGAAAACAAAGGATGACCTGAGTCACACCACCATTAGCACAATCAGCCCACAAGAATACAGGCCAGTGTAACCACAATCAGTAGTGGTACACGCACCCACACAGAACTGCTGATACTGCTGCTGCTGTCTGCATCACCCTTCTTGTTGTTTGTGGATTCAGGAGGAAGTGTTGTTGTTGTTGTTGTTGTTGTTGTGGTGGTGGTGGTGGTTGTTTCTGTATTTCCTCCCTCATCAGATGAGTTATTTTGAGGTTCATCCTCTGGGGAAGTAGTGCCATTTCCAGTGTTTGCAGTATCAGAACCACCGGCATTATCTTTCTCTGAAGTTGTGGGAGAAGAAGGTTGTGTTTCCTCAGCATT